CGACCCCCGCGGGCACCCGCGCGCTCCCACGCACACGTGCGCACCCCCGCGCTCCCACGCACACGTGCGCACCCCCGCGCCCGGGCGGGAGCTCCTGTGACCTCGGTGCTGGCGGCACCAGCGCAAACAAGGAGGCGGCTGCGGGATGGGGGGCTGCCCCCTCCCCCGTTTATTATCTGTACAATCATTGACAGTCGAAGGCCGGACCCGGGACGCGTGGCGCTGGCAGCTCGCGGGGACGAGGACGACCAGGCCCAGGGCGAGGGGCCCCGGGCGGCAGATGCCCTCGCCCAGAAGCAGGGAGGCGGCGAGGGCCCTTCGCCAGCACCCGGTTCCCCCGCGGCCTGGGGAGTCCTGGGGAAGGGGCAGCCCCTGCCCCCCGGCAGCCAGGGCCCTGCGAGCGCCTGCTGCTGGGCAGGCAGTGCAGACCCCCCCGCCTCAGGTTGGCTTCGCTCCCGCCTGGCCCCGAGCTGTCGGCCTGGCAGCGCCTGAGCACCGCCGGGACCGGGGGAGCAGGGACAGGCGCCAGGGTGGGGGCAGGGTGCGTGGAGCCAGGCTGGGCGGACAGCTGCGCCGGGGCGGGTGCAGCTACAGCAAAAGGCCAAAGCAGCAGGTCTGGATGCTTCCAGGGACTTGCTGGGTTCAGGCTAGGGGGGGTTGCCCTGGCACCGGCACTGCATGAGACTCGGGAATGCCCAGGCCCGCAGCTTAATGCAGATGAGATTGAGCAGGGGCCTATGCCCAGCTCCACCCCCAGGGCGAAGGGAAAGGCAGAGGAAGCAGCCGGTGCAGTAGCGAGACAGGCCCTGGGCCACGCAAGGCAGCGCCGGCGGTGCCCGGAGACACCCGCAGTTGGACTGCGTTGGACTCCGATGCAGAGCAGATCCCCATGGCCCCGGTCAAGAAGGGGCTGCGCTGGTACCGCTGCAGTGCGTGGTGCCGTGGGAGGCCCCGGGCGGCGGGGGGAATCTCCTTCGCCTGGTGCCGTCGATGGTGCGTGAAGGCCCTGGCATCTCCCCGCACACAAGGGCACAGGCAGCAGAAGCAGCAGGCAGGGAGCACGGGGGCTCAGCAGGGTCAGCGCCTTGGCCAACGGCCTGGGCCCTGCTAGATGTGCTCGGGGTGGTTCTGGAGGCACGTGATGAACTCCGCCACGGGCCTGCCCTTGTAGCAGATCTGATAGACGGCAGTGAAGAGGGGGAACCTGTGGATGCACGGATGGACACGCTGACTCCCGGCCAGCGGGCCACCAGCTCCAGGGCGAGGCGGCAGGGACCCCTGCACCCAGCCCACAATGGAGCCGGGCAGCGCATGGCCACGGGACTCCCATTCGGGACAGGGAATGAGGGCTGCTGCCCGGGCAGCCTCGACGGAGGGGCACAGAGGCAGAGCAGCCTTCAGGGGTGCCGCACGGGCACTTGCAGCGGGTGGGACGTGAGCTGGGTGCACCGCTGTCCTGCGGGCACGGGGCTGCAGGGGACCAGGACTCACTTCTCCACCAGGTTCTTGCCCTTGAGGATGTGGTGCAGCTCCGCGGCCGTCTGCGGGCCCTGCAGCTTCTGCCCGTTCAGCATCTCCTTCTCCAGCTGCTCAATGGACTGAAACAAGCCCCGGAGCAGAGCCTTGGTTGCACTGCCCTCGCCCTCGCCCTCCCTGGTCCAGAGCAGGAGGCTGCAGGCGGGGAGCCCCTCTGCCAGCCCCCACCCCCCAGCTCCGGGCCTGGCCCCCTGCCCGGTATTCGCTTCCTGGACGCACCTTCCCAGTCTTGGCGAAGGCCTCGGCCACTTTGCGGTTTCGGCCGCCGTAGCAGGTGGTGATGAGGTCGGCGATGCCACAGCTCTCCAAGAAGGTGGCGGAGGTAACGGGGCCCTTGCAGAAGAGCTTGGCGAAGGCGATCATCTCCATCAGCCCCAGGCGGATCACGGCCGCCTTGGTGTTGTCCCCAAAGCCCAAGCCGTCACAGAAGCCAGCCCCCACGGCAACGACGTTCTGGGGGGACAGTGGCACAGAGTAGCCCCTTACCGGCGGGTCCCGGCCCCCGACAGCAAATCTCCAGCTCCATGGCAGCTGGGAGGCTTCCCCTTTGCCCAGCCCTTGCCCAGCCCGCCTCAGCTAGATGCGGCACACGGGCTTTGCTGCTCCCACGGCGCTCGGGGTCAGCCCCAGGGCCTGGACCTGCCAGCACGGCAGTGCCATTTGGCCTCCCCAGTGGTGCCTGCGCCCGGGGACCAGGACAGCCTGGCACGGAGCTAAGCTGCAGCTGCCCCCACCCCGGCAGCCCCACCTTGAGGGCCCCGCAGATCTCCACGGTCTCGGCGTCCTGCACCACAGTGATGCGGAAGTTGGGCGTCTGCAGCAGCTCTTTCAGGATCTGCCCGTGCTCCGGGTTCTTGGAGCCTGGGGGGTGAGGGTGGGGGCAGGTTAGGAGCAGCTCCTGCAGGAGGAGCTGGCCTCCCCCACCACCCGAGCCCAGGTCTCCACCCTGTCTTGAAGGCTTGTGTGCCTCCAGGCAGAGCATGAAGCCTTGCGCTGGGGCCCCCATGCTCGGGGGAGCCAGCCCCTTGGCTCAGGGATGGTGCCTGAGACAGGGCTCTTAACGTGGCTTCCCAGCAGGCAGCAAGGTGGTGGGGGCCTGGCTGCCATCTGTACCCTGGCAGCCCTGCCCAGCCGCTAGACATGGCTAAGTCTCTGTGTGCCCCGACCCCCTTTAGCATCGCTGCCCAGTTCTGAAGCCTCCTGTCCCCTCTTGGCTGTGCAAGCTGTGGGAGGCCGGGAGCATCAGAGCCCCAGGCAGGAGCTCCAGGCCTGGGCCCCAGCCCTGCCCTCCCCTCGGACAGCCGTGCAGGGTGGTCACCGATGGTCGTCTCGCAGAACTTCTCCTCCGCCACCTCGTTGGCAATGTTGGCGCCCATCAGGACGCTCATCTCGATGCCCAGCCGCTCACGGATGATATCTGAGATCAGCTTCAGCCCATCCGGGCCTTCGTCCACGCCCTGAGACATGGCCGGGGCAGGGGGAGTGAGTGCCCTGGGCTGGGGCTTGGGCTCCCCATGCTTTCTCCAACACAGTCCTTGCTGCTGCGGCCCCCCCACTGCAGGGCCCAGCCTCAGGCCTGTTCTCCCTGCACCACACTGCCAGTTCCCCCCCCCCCCCCACCCAGCTGCCGCGTCC